ACAGAAACAGAGACAGAGAGGAGCAGGAAGAGGGAAAAGGAGGGAAAGAGAAAATAAATTCAATTCAATCCAAGAAACATTTATTATGAACCTACTTTGTATTAAGCACTATGCTAACCACTGGGAATACAAAGACAAAAGTGAAATTGCCCCTGGCCTTCCAGAAACTTACACATTCAAAATGTGACCATCTAACATATACACAGAGAAATAAATACAAAATATGGTGGATATATTGATTGAAATGACTGATGAAACAAAGTCTCAAGCTTCCAAGCATATTGATTTATTAAGCAATGCATGCCAATTGCATAATAAATCAGGACTAGGCCTCCTCAGATTGGCACTGGTCCTCAAATATAGGAGGAGAAGATTTTTATTCATTAAAAGAAAATTATTAACAGGATATAAACCAGGATACAAGGTTAGGTAATCTGATTTCTAATTGGAGGAAAGATTGGGAGGGGGAGAGTGAACAGGTACAATTCCCTGAAATTAGAAAAAGAGGTGTCCCACTCCCTCCAAGTATCTCTATTCAATCAAAGGAACAAGGAAACTGATTGACCAGCACAGCGCTAGTTTTCAAATAAGACATATGGGTTGCTTGAGATGTATAATTGTGAGAAAACTCCTTGCATCAATCTTCAGGTCTGGTGGGTTTCTGATTAGCATAACCTAGGTGCTTCGTTAAGGGTCTCAGCAACAGGTGGAGGTGGCCCAGCTTCTCAACCACTCAAGGCTAGGTTGAAACGATGCAATGAAGGTTTCTCACAATTCCCATAACTGAATAGTTTTCTCACAAGACAGAAATTGGAGTAGACCCATAATTGAATAGAAAGTGAACTGAGCTAGATCCAGAATTGAGTCACAAGACTGAATCAGTGTAGTTCAATCAATTCCCACAATACTTACAAAGGAAATACAAAGTAAAAGTAAGTTGCAAGGCCTCTTGCAGGGGCTGAGCTGAACTTTGAAAGGAGTGAAGGATGACAAAAATCAGAAGGGAGGAGAGAGAACTTTCCAGGCATGGGAAGAAGGTATAGACTAGGAAGATACAGAAGCAGAGGATGAAATGACTTGTGTAGTGAACATAAGGAAGGCCAATTTGGTGTACGAGAGAAACATGTTATCAGTCTAGAAAGATATGTTGTAATCAGATGGAAAAAAGCTTTGTGTTTTATCACAAAATCAGGAGAGAGGCATTCAAGCTTCTTGAGCAAGAGAATGATATGGCCAGAATTGTGCTTTAGGAATATCAACTTGGCTTCTGTGGAGAGGTTGAATTGGAGAGAGGAGAGATTAGACGTAGGGAAATCAATTAGCAGCCTATTACAATGGTCTATGGTGAGATCAGATTGGAGGCTGTGTGACTGAAGAGAAGGAGATGGGTATGAGAGGTGTGGAAAAAGTCATTACAGCAACTATTTGAGAATGGAAGTTGAGGGATAGCTTAGATTTGAAAATGATTCCAAGGCTTCAAACCTAGTTGATTGGAAAGTATGGTGGTGCCCATAATAGAAATAGGAAAATTGGAAAGAGGGGCAAGGTAGAGAAAAAGATGTGATTTAGACATATTGACTCTGGGGATTCTAAAGGCCATCTACAATGATGAAGATGTCTAGCAAACAGTAATGAGGGGTTATTGCTTAGGAGATGAGGGCTAGATATGTAGACGTGGCAGTTATCTGCATAGAAAAAAACATATATATGTATGTGTATATTTTTGTGGGTATGTGTGTGTGTGTAAGATAGATGGTGCAGTGGATAGAGTGCCAGGCCTGGACTAAGGAAGACTAATCTTCCTGAGTTTAAATCTGGCTTCAGATACTTATTAGCTGGGTGACCCTGGGCAAATCATCTAACTCTGTTTGCCTCAGTTTCCTCATCTTTGCCAAAAACTCCAAAAGGGGTCACGAGGAGTTGAACATGACTGAAAAACGACTCTAAACAACAACAACAATATATAGATACACACACACAGTTATTCCTTCCACATCTCAAGGGTTAGGGGCACAGTGATCCTGCAGTCTGGAAAATCTGTGGAAAACTTTTTGGCCTTCCCTTCATACCAGAGAAGAAGTCTAAATTATTATGGTATTAAAAGATAAAATATGTTGATATAATACCATAAATATATTTTATGCATTTCTGAGTTTCTAAACTTTTTCTGTGTTGTCTGAGGGCCTTTATCTGTGGCTTCTGCAAAACTTTCCAGAAATTCCAATTTAATTTCTTATGCCGACCTGAAACATACTGAAACTGCAGTAGGGAAAGTCACAGTGTAGAAGGGATAACTGTATATAGAAAAGGAGAGACAGAGACAGAGAGAGAAGGGGACCCAGGGCAGAGCTCTCTAGTACACTCACACGGGACTTGGATGATGATCTAGCAAAGGAGTGGTCAGACAGGTAAAAAAAAATGAGAAATTAGTAATGTCTCAAAAATCTAAAGTGGAGAGGATAAAGAAGGCTCAGCTCAGCCCCTGCAGGAGGCCTTTACTATCTGCTTTCCCTGTTAGGAGTGTGAGTATAAGTGTGTGTGTGTGTGTGTGTGTGTGTGTTGGGGGGGTGTGGATGTGGGTGTGGGGGGGTGTGGGTGTGTGGGTGTGTATGTGTTAACAGTGTCAAATGCTGAAGAGTGGTCAAGGACAAGACTGAGAAAAGGCTTTTGGATTTAGCAATTTGGACATTGTTGGTGACCTTGGAGAGAGCAGTTTCAGTGGGGCTGAGGAGTAAGTAGGATGTAAGGAAGTGGAGGATAAATGGAAAGTGGAAAGAAAATCATTTTCTGGAAGGAGAAACCACCTACTTCTCAGTGCTGCTTAAGACCTTCTTCCAAAAAGCACTTGGGTTGTTGACTTCAAAAGGAAGTCTGCTTTGCAGATGGCCTCATGCTATATACTTAATAATGACATTGTAGTGCAAATGGGAAAAGCATTGGATTCAAGTCCTGACTCTTCCACTTAGAACTTGTCATGTGCTCTTGGGCAAGTCATTTCAGTTCTGTAGCCCTCTGCTTCTTTATCTGTAAAATTAGGGTTTGGATGGGGTGATTGCTAAAGTCCCAACTTGAACGTTTTGTGAAATAAACAAATGTGTATAAAGCTGCTGCTAAGGTGGCACCGTTCTTCCTCTCAGTATCTCATACACCCACTTTGTGAAGACTGTCTTCCCAACCTGAAAAAATCTCTTGCTGGGCCCTACCTAAGTCTCCCCTGCAGCCTCAGGACCAGTACTCTTTTCAAGAGCCTCAGTAATATCTGCGAACTTAGAGTCATAATAGACCTGTATTCAAAACCTGCCTCAGATGCCTGAGAGCTGTGTGATCCTGGGTCTTTTAAAATAGTTTAAAACAACCGCTTAACCTCGCTGGGTCTTGGTTTCCTTGTCTGTAAAGTGATGAGGTGGGGCGCAGCTCTAAATCTTAGATTTTAAGATCATTTTCTGCTCGTTCAACTGCTTGGAAAGGGATTCGAGCTCCACCTTGTGGAAAAAGCTGAGCACAACAGGCACCAGTCAAGTGTAAACAGTCCCATACTCTGACTCAAGGTTGTTTCTTTCCCTATTTTTTTTTTCTTCAAAGGAAATACAGATGTTTCCCATTGAAATCACATATTCATTTGCCACTCAGGAAACTGGGCTACAGTTTCTTAGAGCCAAGTTTCACATATGATCCATGTCAGCCTGTTTTCTAACTCAACTTGACAGTACTCTGTAAATATCGTTTGTCCATCAATCAACTTCCTTGGGTTTTAACTTTTTCCTTCTAAATTTTTTTTAAAATGGGAGACATTATGAAATTTATATTAATAGTAAAGATCTCTCAAATCACAATTGCATAAAATTAAAACTAAGGCCATCTTATTCCTCAGCCAAAAAAAAAAAAGTCCATCAACAGCCAGCATAATGACAAACACAAGAATAATCCATAATCCATGCACCTACACAGTTCCTTTTGTGTTTTACCACTGTTATTTACCTCCAGTGACCCATGGATCCTTGTGAATTAAGTTTCCTGTTAATACCTCACACATCTAACAAAAGAAGTTGGGGGTAGGAATGATAAGAGGACTTAGCCAAAGAGCATATATTAGATATGGTGTTAGGCTCTTACACAAGATGACAGAAGGTCATCTTGGAAATCCTGTGCTTTTTTTCACTAGCCTCCACAGAAGCCTTCTTCAGGGTAAATTAGGGTCACTATAACCCTTTATCCTCCCTCTATGATCCCCAGCACTTTCTTCAGGGAGGCTACTAATTGTGTTCTTCAAATGCTAGGGTACTTAAAGGAAAAAGAAGACAGGACTGGGTTTCACAGTCCAATCCTAGTAAATGCCTCTGTTGGCATGAAGAAATCAGAACTGTTAATAGAGTTTATTAAAGACGGTTGGCTGGCCATTTGTCAATCAGCTCCGTATTAACAAGGGTCCGTTGAACATCCACTGGGCACGTGCTGTTTGAGAGCACACTTAAGAGAGCACAGTTACTGCCCTCCTGATGCTTATCATGAGAGATGGAACAGAAAACCAGAATAAGCATAAGCTCCTGGAAATACATACAGTAATTACAAGAACATGCTGAGGTGGTTGGTGAGTGGGTGGTGCCAGGAACGCAGAAACTTGAAGACGTTTCCTGACAAACAGGAGCCTTTAGCTGTGATGGTCTCCTACCCAAGACAATCTGGGATTGAGACTCCAGAAAGGGTCAACTGGGTCAGCAGACCCTCATCCCCTCCCCCACAAACTGAGTGTTATTTAATCCAGTTATGTTGTCTCTTGCATTGACTCTTTGGCCCTTTACTAAGCTTCCTGAGTAGCTCTGTCCTTAACTTTAGGCTTTGAGATTAGGGTTTCCAAATATTTCCCTTTTCTGGGGATAGATCTCATTGATCACTTCCATACCTGGCTCATTGAACTTCCTAGGAAGGGAGTTTGCTTCTTTTCTTTTGGACTGTAGCTCTTCCAACAGCAGCAAATATTGGAACTGAATAAACTATAACAAGTTGCTTGTCAAGTCAATTTATTAAGCACCCACTCTGTGCCAGGTCCTGAGCTAAGTGTTGGAGATACAAAGAAAGGCAAAAAATACTTCCTGCTCTAAAAGAGATCGAAGTTTGGTGGAAGGGGCAACATTCAAACAACTATGTACACACAGGATAGAGACTGGTTAAATGAGAGATAACCAGAGGAAAGGCACCTGCATTAAGGGAGCTTTGGAAAGGTTTCTTTGAGAAAGGATTATTCTTTGGCAGGTAGGTGGCGAAGTAGATAGAGTCTGTGTGACCCTAAGCAAGTCACTTAGCCCTGTTTGCCTCAGTTTCCTCATCTGTAAAATGAACTGGAGAAGGAAATGACAACCACTCCAGTATCTCTGCCAAGAAAACCCCAAATGGGGTCAGAGAGAGTCAGTCAGACATGACTAAAATGACTCAACAACAACAAAAGGATGACACCTAGGAGGCAACATGGTGTAGTCAATAGAGAGCTGGCCTCTGGGCCAAGAAGATTTGACCTCTGACCCTTACTGGCTGTGTGACCCTGGGCAAGTCACTTAATGTCTCAGTGTTCTAGGAAACTCTCTGAGACTATAAACTGCAGAGAATGTGCCCACCTACATTTACAGAATATCAGTGAAACCACAGATCCTGCTCCTAGCCCTATAAGAAATCATATTCCCATTTCTTATATTTTATTTTACATATCTGGAGCCAGGGTTTCAATGAAACTTGGAAATTAATGTACATCCATGAATGCAAACATGCACATTTTAGTGTGCAGCTTAATATAAACACATTGACTTCATGGCTTTCCTACAAAGAGGTTTTTAACTTCATTTTATCCTTTTTCCATTTCACTTGAGCACAGTTCTGGCTGAAGACTGACAAGCCTTTCTGCTTCTAGCTCCCAGACTTCTCTCCTTCCCTAGAAGTGGTTCCAGGATGCTGTCAGCTACAACTTTCTTCCCTTCCGAAGCCCTACAGAAGCCAAATACTTTGCACATCCAATAGCAGGAAAGTGTTGTCTTTGGGGCCTAGACACAACTGACTAAATTAAAACTGAATTAAAAAGAAACCCTCCCCTCTTCCTACACTTACCTGAAACCCAGTGTCCCGGGCTATATTTCCTCAGGTGTCTGTACTGAGGAATCTGTAATCAAACTAAATACAAACAAGGCTTCCCGTCATCTAAATTCCCCCGTGAAAATATTACCAGGAAGGGGAGGGAACAGAATAAGTACAGGATGTTTTGTAAAAGCATCAAAATCAGGGACAAAGCTAAAATCAGGTAACATCTCCAACCTAGTCATAACTTTTCTTCTTAAAGATTCAGCTTTTTTTAATCTTAAAAAAAAAGCTCAGAGAATAAAAATACTCAAATGAAATCATTAAGAAGGCATTGGTATATTACGTCCAAAAATAGCCCACTCTTGAAGACTCTTTGGCAACTAGCAGGTTGCATCTGCTTCAGACTGATTCCTACTCCCATTTTTTTCCTATAGAAACTTCCAGTTACCCTGGCTTATTTACTGTTCTTTACATACAACTGTCTTGTCCCCTACGTCTTTGCACTGGATGTCCCCCATGCCTCCTCACCTTTGCCTCTTAATTTCTATGGCTTTCTTCAAGATCCAGTTCCAGTACCACTTTCTGCAAAAGACCTTTCCTAGTCCTCCCCAACTGTTAATGCCTTTCCATGTCTGATCACCTTCCTTCAACTCTGTATATGTCTTTTTTTTTCAGCCAATGACAAGGTTTATTAGAACATCCATTATATTGGGCAGACTCTTATGACTAGATGGTCTCTAAAGATCCTTAACCCTAGATCTATCATCCTGTGAATTAATTGTCCTGTTAACAAAAAGATGCCAATGTATCCCAAAGAGATCATAAAAATGGGAAAAGGACTCATATGTACAAAAATATTTATAGCAGTTCTTTTTGTGGTGGCAAAGAACTGGAAATTGAGGGAATGCCATCAATTGGGGAATGGCTGAACAGGTTGTGGAATGAATGTAATGGAATACTATTGTGCTATAAGAAATGATGAGCAGGAGAACTTCAGAAAAACCTGGAAAGACTTGTATGGACTGATGCTGAGTGAAGTTAGAAGACCCAGGAGAATGTTGTACACAGTAACAGCTACGTTATGCGATGACTAATGTTGATAGACTTAGTCCTTCTCAGTAATGCAAGGATCTAACATCTCCAAAGGTTCATGATGCTATCCACATCCAAAGAAAGAACTATGGAGTTTGAACGCAGATCAAAGCATACTATTATATTTTCTGTTGTGTTTTGTTTCCTCTTTCTTGTGGTTCCTCCTCTTGGTTTTAATTCTTCCTTACAACATCACTAATGGGAAAATACGTTTAATAGGAATGTATATGTATAGCCCATATCAGATTGTGAGCCATCTTGGGGAGGGAGGAGGAGTGGGAGGGGGAGAAAAAATTTAAAACTCAAAAGCTTATGGAAGTGATTGTTGATAAATCAAAATAAATTTAAAAATCTGCCAAGACTTAATGAACTTACCACAACTGACATTTGCAAGTTGCCTTGCCAATTCCCATTTATCAAAGAAGAAAACCATTTAGGGATTATGACCTGTCATCCACTATGAGGAACATTTCATTGATCTATCTTAGACTTAATGAACCCAAAGTTTTGGATATGTAATAAGTATGTACTTATGTTTGTATGTGCTAACTGGTCCTAATATCAAGTTATCATGTCTAATATCATGTCCCCAAAATCTCCCTGGAAAAACCCCCAATTGCTTTCTGGCTTCCTCTGGCTTTAAGATCTCTTTGTTTTTATCACCTTCTCTAGTCCCTCAGTGTTTCCTTTTGAAAGGCGGTCTATTTTACTTCTTAGGACATTGTGGTGGACAGCTAGGTGCACAAGTGGACAGAGTGCCAGGCCTGCAGTCAGGAAGACTCATTTTCCTGAGTTCAAATCTGGCCTCAGACACTTACTAGCTTCATGACCCTGGGCAAGTTACTCAACCCTGTTTGCCTAAACTCCTCATCTGTAAAATGTGCTGGAGAAAGAAGTGGCAAACCACTCCAGTATCTTTGCCAAGGAAATCCCAAATACGGTCAATAAAGAGTTGGAATCGATTGAACAACAACCCAAATCCAAACATGGGGTAATATATAAAGAGCAGTAGCTTCTGAGTCAGAAGTCCCAGGTTTGAATTTCTGATAATATATGACTTTGGGCAAATTATTTGTGTGTATTTCATTGCCTTAAAATGGAGGTGATAATACTTGCATTATCTACTTCATAGGATTTTCCTAAGTGTTTCAGAAATGGAAACCAATATTATGATCTAGAAGATATCATGGTGGGGAGCCCTCACTTCTACACAAATTTATGGCAAACTATGGACAATTTACTTACTTCTTCTGAGATATTAGATATTGATCTTTATGCCTCCCACCCTTATGATTAAGTGGATCAATCCTGAGGAATTAGGCAACCCTTTTGCACAGACAGCCTGCCAACAATTTTCACAATAAACACTAGCATCTGGAAAAACACAATCCATTATGGGAACGGTGGGCATCTTCCTCTACTCTCCTTCCATCTCCTTCACTGCAACCTAGTGAGTTTGTTTTGCCAGCCTTGGAGCGCTATGTAAATGTTGGTTATTATTACAATCTACCCTAACAATTTTCTTCATTCTTTACCCTCACTCATAAATGTGGCTGCTATATTTTTCTTTTCTTTGACCACAGTATGCCTGTCTTCAATGGGCTTCCCTGCCCTTCGGGTTTTTTTGTTTGTTTGTTTCGGTGAGGCAGTTGGGATTAAGTGACTTGACCAGAGTCACACAGCTAGTGAGTATTCTGTGTCTGAGGTCACATATGAACTCGGATCCTGCTGACTCCAGGGCCGGAGCTCTATCTACCATGCCACCTAGCTGCCCCTTCCATGCCCTTTGAGATAGTTTCCTGTTATTCATTTTTGGTTCCAAGACCTGCTGATCAGCTCCCACCTATATCATTCTCTATTCTCTCAGCCCAATGCCTACCTAGGCTTTTTTATTCATTTCAATAAATATTTATTAAATAATTATCTCAGATGCTATGTTAGGTGCTCAGGATACATGAAGTCCGACATAATCACTGCCTTTAAGGAGCTTGTAATGGGAAGAAATAAGATATTTATATGTTAACTATGATAGAATGTGGTTAGTGTCAAGAAGAGGTTAAAAGTACTATGGGAAATATGAGGGAGAGGTCATTTTCAATTGGGAGGAGGTGTCAGGGAAAGCTGCTTTGAGTGCTACCTGAATTGGAATTTTAAGGGAGAGATTTCAAAAAGTGGAAAACAGGCAGAGCTCATTCCAGTTGTGAGTAAAGCTATGGAGATAGGAGAGGATGAGTGGGAGTCTACTTCAGTTTTAAAGTAGAAGCCATGAAAGGGAAACAAAGATAAGGCTATAAGATAGATTGGAGTTGGACTGGGGTGTTCTCTGAATGCCAGGATGAAGAGTTTATGCTTTTATTTGGTAGGCAATGGGAGACCACAGAATTTTTTTGAGTGGAATACTGCATACTGCATACTTCAGCAAAAAAAAAAAAAGGTTAGAGGAAGCAAAAAAATGGAGGAAGCCTTGGATTAGGAGATAATGAGTGTCTGGATTAGACTACAGTGGCAGCAATAGGAATAGAAAGTAAAGACTGCACATGAGAACTATTTCCTCTTTCTTCCTTCTTTTCTCCCTCTCCCCCCATTAAGCAAGCTTCTTCACAGTTTTGTCAGTTTCATTTTTCACCTTCCTTCCTCTCTGAGCCTTTACTTACTGTGGTTTTATACAGAAAAGACATGTAAACAAACGAAGGGCCTACAATGAAAAGAAGTAGTTCCTGGGAAAGTCAAGGAAATACTTTTCAAAATTTTCACTCTGTATTTTGAAAGAAGTCACAACTTATATCTTATTAAAATTGCTGGAAACCAGCTTTACAAATTATTTTATTTTACCGTACAGAAGCAAAATGACAGAAATGGTAGGCACACATCATTTACAAAAAATGAAATCATTTACATAAAACTACATCAAGAGGAAATAAATTTTATAATACACCACTTCAGCTCAAATATATACCAAGTTCCAGCAATTCTGTACATCATACCTTAGCTGTCAACAGCTAATTCATCTGTTTTGAAGCCGTCACTTGATTTACATGGGCAACATCACTTCGATGTAAAATAATGAGTTAACATTTACATGATAAAAGTTACAAAAAAAATACTTGGCAAACTATGTAAGCAAGTCATACAGCTAGTGCTAATATTTACACAGTGATAGTTGCTAAATTACAGAATCAGTTAGAAGGAAGGCATTTCCTCAATACAAATGCCAATGCCTAGAAAAGGGCCAAAGATATTGACAATTAGTCATGCTTAAGGACCTTGGGATCAAAAATTAAAGCAGTGGTCTTTTGCAAAGATTAACTATGGTTTATTTTTACTGTTTTATTCTGAACTCCCTCCTTCACTGACTATTGGAGAAAAAAATCAATAGCCAAGGGAAATTATAAGCTATTTGTGGAAAAATCTTATAATAAAAAGTTTGTCACCTGACACATTCAGAGATTGAGGGGTGCCTAGTCAAACATTCTGATAAATTGGGAGTTAAGGTATGTTTCTCCAGCTACTCCAGTATAGTACTGTTTGTCTTTCAACCTACAAGGGAATGTCTGGATTTAAAGACAATGGAAACCACGATTGTAACAAAAGCCCTATGAGGCAGAGATCTATTTCCCTTGTCCCCAAATCCCCCAAACCACCACCACACAACTCTAATAATTCTGCCCTAAACCTCAGTTAATTACTGCTCTAATTTGAGTCTATTGGTATGTTAATTAACATGGTAGGGGACTTTAGAAAGGCTGATACATAGAGTTGTCCACTTGGTAAAATACCAGAAACCATAGAATTTACAGTAATGTGCACTATATCCCAAATTTTGAACATAATGTATAATATATCCAAAATTTTCAAAATAATGTAGCAATAGTTTTGCCATTGTTTCACGGCTCAAGGAGAATGGTCCTTCATATATGAAAGAGCATTATTTTTTTAAATCAACTTGGGGTTAATATTTACTCCACAGACAAGGAAACTGTCTTTGCCTGAGCTATGTATAACAAGGTACATCAACACTCAATGTCA